TGAGTATTATGTACTCTACAGTAACTACGTCTTAATGCAGTGTGTCTGTTACTCCTCCAAGATGTATCTGTAGTGTGCTGTGCAACATCCAGGGCCTTGGCACTGACAGCCACTCACGCCACTACCTATTAAAAATGTACTCAGGAATGTGTTGACAGCAAATACTACGGAATTTGTGCATCTAGGGACATATCTGACATCAACAGCAGCCAGACAATCTTAGTGGTGTGTTTCTTGCAAGAGATCTAAATGAACTGAAAGCTATGTTCACATTTCTTCCACAGACTGAGACTCTGTTAGTTAACGGTTAGGAAAAGAAACAAGTGAACAGGTGTGCGTATTCAAACATTTGAAAAGTTTATATAAGACTGCACGCATAGGTCTACAGATATTTATTTTTATATTTGATATTCAGATAGCATTTGCACAGAATGTTTCTGCCCCCACTGTCTTTTAAGATAGCCACAGTAATCTTGTGAGGTGCCTGCTGTCAGAGCGCTTGCTTGAGATGGTCACGGGGTTAGCTTGCTTTCCCTGTTGCTTTATCACCGTGAGCTTGATCAGGGGCCTCTGTAATTCAGGCCAAACTGCTGGGATCATTCTAAGAAAATGACTGAGGCTTTGTTTTGCAAACCCCAGTTAAGATACTTGGTTTTAGATAAATACATACTAGTTGGGACTGAGACTATCCCAGAAGCTTCTAGACCATATTGGTACCTCAACTACAAGCAGCTGGTTTCACTCTTAAGACATTTCTTATGAGTGCTCATTTTATAGCTCCTTCAATAAATCTTGAAGGTACACAAGGAAGAAAGAGGGTAGGATAACTTTGATTCAAGTTTTGTAAAAAACACAATTTATTGCTTGTGATACCATAATCATATTATATTACAGGCACTATTTTTTAAAATTCATGTTTTCTCCTCAAGGGGGATCATTTCATGCATTACTTATAACAAGAAACAGTATATGTAAGGAATATAAATACCAGCATAATAAAACACTACAATGAACCACACAGATTTATGATAAAGCAGAGGCTATTAAATCAAGCGTGATTGATTGTATGGGAGATTTTGAGTTTGATTTTATTTTTTACAAAGAGAATGTTCCCGAAGGGGAAAGACTCATAAAACAGAATTTAGAAGTAGATACCAATCTAAAACCTCTAAATTCTCTCCTTAGATCATGTTATTCCACGAAAACTCGATTTGGAAGGAATTTGTTGATTTTCGTTATAGACCCAACTCAGTGGGGCTGGATTTTACGGGGCTCTAAGTCTTTAGTTTTGACTAAAGGTCAGTATAAGCATGGCCACTTGCAATCTATGACTACATTTTTCTACTGTATTGCTCAATACTTTCTATAAAGCTCTCAACAAAGGCTTGCTTTAGTATTTAACGCAGTAGGTTTTCTGAGCTTCGGAGAAGTGATATTTCTCTGCTGATAAACCCTGTATTACTATTTCCCTCTTTTGTTTTGTTGCTCAGGGTTCAGAAGAACAGCCTGTCCCCTTAGGGGACATAGTCCCGTTTTCTCTTCCTTAGTTTCCTATTCTTCTCTTTCCTTTTCATGGAGCTGCTGCTTATACACTCTGGTGTAAGTGACCCTGACCTCAGGTCAGCTTAAGGAGAAGCCTGAGCAGAAACCAAGCAGATGGGAGTGAAGCTGTGTGTTACCCAGATTTGGGTGGTACTGACAGGTGATGTCTGTCAGTACTGCAGTCCCCACCGCTGTGATCCTTCAAAGTGCAGAGGCATGGTGGGGCTCCACAGAAAAGGCAGAGAGAGGGAGGTGACAAAGGTCTCCCTAAGGGGCATTCCCACAGCCTGACTCTGAGCAGCCTCCAACTTTTCAGTCCACAGAGCCTTTCAGAGTATACTGCTTGGGAAATGGAGGGAAGGGGCACTGGGAGAAATGATTTTTAAAGCAAGAGAACTGCCCACTCTAGGAGGAGGAAGCTAGACTAGAGAAGCATCTTCTGCTTCCATGTACATGCAGGGAAAAGCCTGTTTTCAAAGAGAGATATCAAGGACTAGGCATTTGCTCTGCCATGATCTAAGTCCAATGGCCACACCCCAGGGATGCAGGGATGGACAATGATACAGGCTACACATCCAGGGCCTCTTTAACACAAGGGAGTCATCCCTGGTGAAAACTTGGCATCAGCCCAATAAAGTAACTTTTTCATAATATACAAAGTAATGCCGCACATTGTCTTTATTGTTTGAGTTACAGATTTGTTTAACATGGTTCTTTTCTTTCTTTACAGACCTGGGGAATGAAGAGTTAGAAAGTTTCCAGTGTTTTGCAAACATTCTTTGTTAACACACAAACACACAGAATGAAAAATAGGAAAGAGCATACAGAAGAATTAACAGATCGGTTGAGACTGGACAGGTTGGAGCTCTGATTAACATGGATAAAATGTGAAATCTTGAAATAACGCGGGTAACTGGGATATCGTCATACGCTTTGGAACATGCACAGGTAGTCAAGCTGCGTTTCTCTTGCTCTAGTTTTAGGGTAGTGTCTCTCCATGTGCTGTCTCTTCTGCTTGCTTCTGAACCTGCCCACACGGTCACACAGGGTTTCAGGGGCTGACATGCTCAGACAGTCATGATGCCTCTATCTCCAGAAGAAAAAAATCATGTGTGGAATGACATTACGAAACCACAGAGTAGAAAGGTCCTTGGTAAGGATGGGAGGGAAGGACGTTACCTATTCTTCATAGAATCTTGTTAATAAATGGCTTTGGAAGAAGCATGAGGGAGACAGGCAGCTCGAAGCCCAGTCTTACACAACTGAACACAGGGCACAGGGTAGAGGGTATGGTGTCATGGTTATGTGATGGAAAGGGACTTGTTACCCGATTCTTATGAAAAGAGTTTCTGTGCCCTTTCAGAGAAATGGAAGCTGAACTGAATGTTCACAGTGTGGAGGTTTGCTCTTGTAGGCTGGAGCCTGTGAGACAACATTAACATTTGTGTAGCTCTGGTGACTGACCTTCTACTAAGAGAAGGCTCTGGTCAATAACCTCAAAAAGCATAGCATGAATTTGAAACTTAACACCATGGGGAATCTAAAACTTTCCCAACAAAATAAAGATTGTTCTCCCTTCTAAACACGAAAAAGGTCTTCATTTGTTGCCGAAACCAGTGACAGTTATAACAGAATGCCAAATTTTATAATCTCAATTCAAGCACTACGTAGAAATGGAAGCAAATTAGTATGATTTTTTTTTCCTCTCTCCAAACTGAAGCACGAACATACATTAGAGGCCAAAGCAATGAGAACGCCAGCAGGACGGCAGCCCTCCACTGTTAGTTAAGACCTGCAGCAGGGACATAACTTACTCCCTGCTTCAATTCTTCTTCCTACAGAAAGATTGAATCAATAACAATTAGATTACCCAAGGTTCCAACCAAAGCATGTACACAGGGAAGGAAGGCAAGAGACTGGAGGTATCAACATGGGTTGATTATCTCTCCTGGCCTCTGCCACCCCTGTGACTTTAGTTCCAAGCCTATTTAGGTATTTGAGACAACAGATCCCCATTCCTTTCCTCCGTGTATCTGATCTGTCTGTCTATCCCAGTACTTGTACGTCTTGGTACAAATCTGTTCAGTTGGGTGAGATTCATCCCACAGTGGCTGCTGGCCAGTAGACTCCCATCTCATCACTACAGTGGAAGAAGTATAGGAACACCAGCAGAGAGATTTGTCAAAATTTCCTGCCATTCAGGGAAGGGCAAGATGGCCTCAGCACTTTTCACCCGACATATTTTCAAAGGGAAGCAGAAGAGATGTTCTGTTGCGTCAAATGAGATAATAGGCTAGAAACAGGTTACTAATGGTCCAGTCTTAGCATAGACAGAACCAATATCAGCCAATCAAATCCCCAGCTCTACACTGCATATGTCCAGCACACTGGAAGTAAATTTTGTTGAGTGACAATAAAGCATTTCCCAAATGGACTATCAAAGAAGGGACTCACGGCCAAAATTGTTGACTAAGTTATAAAATGGAGCAAAGAAACCAAAGGAAAGAAAAGCTGCAATTGCAGGGTCTGTGACAGAAAAGTTTCACAAAATTGTCTTTAAAAAGAATTTAATAAAGCAAGAGAAAAGAAAGAGAGAAGGGAATAATTAAGGAGAAGGAGAAATCAAAGGAAAAAAAGGGCACAGAGAAACCACAAATACTGGTGTGGGGGAGGGTGAGAAATGCATGGACTAAAAACCAGCCTGAAATTCCTGTCTCACAATGACTGCACAGGGGAATCTCCCATCAGAAATCTAACTTGCTGCCCTCGGCACATGGCAGTTCCTGTTTATATTGGTTCCCACTTGTTTCCCTTGGGCCAGATGACCATGGAGCACTGACAGTGCTATTGGCCCAAGTGGCCATGTGTCTGTCCACCTGCTGTTAACTTGGAAAGTCATTTAGCGTAACTGGTAACAGAAATGAGATCTAATTAAAGGAGATTGCTACTTCCAAGGAAGCAACAGCATGCTGCCCTCTACAGGACTTCTGTCATGTAATGCTTTTCCCACTTAACAGTTTGCAGTTGGGACCCGTGGAAGTCATGTGACTCGTTGGAGCCACAAAAATGCAAGAAAATATTTGCTATTATTGTTGACTTCTTAGTCACCATTTGCTAATTTTATGAATTAGACATTATTCTGTGTTCAAGCTAGTCAGAATTGCTAAAACTGATCAAAAGCATTTATAAACAAATCCAGTTTTATAATTTTAAAGGACATAAGGAGACTAAAAATAAGCCCTAAGATTTTGTCCCATGGTCCTTAGCAGCCTAGTTCTAGAAAGTGGGTGCATCGAGAACTATTGCTCATCGACTGCTACTGTTTCACACACATCTGAGCTCGCAACATTTTGGGAGGAAATTGCATATAGTAAGTGGAAAAGTCATCGCAGATTGTGTGCAAGCAATTTTAAGACAGCGCAATGTAGGTCGTAAACATTGATGTGAAATGCTTTTACCTTCAGCAGCTTCATGAGACCTTCCAGCTGGACCATCAGCTCCCTCCGACTCTCCTGGAGTGCAGACATTCTCTGTTCTAGCTCATCCTTGCGTTGTCTAAGGAAGAAGTCACCCTCATTAGAAAAATGCTCAGGCCGAGCCAGTTTGCTTCCTGGTTTTGTGGGTGTGTAGTTGACTGTCTCTAAGCGGGCGTGCCGATCCAGTCTTTGATAGTGTTACCAGGGAAGCCCCTTTCCAGATGGGTAAGTGATTGTAATGTGAGGGGTCCTGCTATTTGAGAGAAGTCACATGACATGGAAGCAGGGTAGAGACCCTTCTTGGCGTTCCTACATTGTGTTTACTATCTTGCTGGTTTTGTTCTGCACTGCAGGCTTCAGAAATCAAACACACACCTAACAGTCACTGGACAGGGCCGGCCATACAGATCTTTAAAATTCAAAACAATTACTATAAATTTATATAAAATTTATTAAGACCTTTGGAAATCTGATGGACGAATGCATTCTAAAGTTTGTTCTAGTGGATGTGCATGGAACAGTCATGGCTTTACTGGTTATAACCATTCTGAAGTGCTTGGTTTGGGCTTGGTTTCATAAAGTGAAGTCAGAATACTATGTTGCCACACGTTTGTTCTGTAACTGAAAAGAAGGAGTAAAGCTAGTGCTTGCTTTACAGAACTTGTATGAAATGGTCAGCAGCCTGGAAACCAATCTGCACTCTACCATTTATGTGGACATTAAGAGGTGTGAAAACAACCCTCACAAGAAAAATGAGACCAATGTGTATTGCAGCCTCCACATTCAAGGTGGTCAAGCAACATGAAGACTAAATAATGATGCTGATTTCCGTCTGTTAAGTGCATGAATTTCTAAATAAATGCCTTTTATTTTGAAATTCCATGAGATTGTTTTAAATCTAGTGTCTATGTGTTTGAATATAATTTCTCTGAAGATAGATTAAGAACAATAACATTTTAATAAGAACGACAAAGGAGATAATAACATATATCCTCAATCACTTTCTGAATTTGAGATTGGACCATGGTTATAAAAGAGAATGTTTTCCTTAGGAAGCATATGCATATATCATTAGTGGTCTGGGGCCACGAGACCTGCCACATTCATTTCACTTTATTGAATCTCAGCTTCCACATTTCTGAAAGGAGAATAATTGAGCCTTTCTCCCAGGTTTGCTATTGCGTTCAGTGGTACAACATATTTGGAGCCAGCACACACTAAGTATCAGGTGGTTAGCACATGGGAAGTGCCCGTTTATCACCATGTCGGATCTGCTAATGTGACTTTCAGTTTCCCCACGGCTTAAGTAAAAAGGGAAGCATAATCATTTAGAACGGTCATAGTGATCTTAATACTAAAATTAAAATTGAGTACTCATTAAAGTAAGTCCCCAGTTTCTTGTTTTCTCAAGAAAAGATTCTGGAAGGATGGAGTAGGAAAGACACAGTAAGGGCTCCCATGGATGCTGTTCATTCCTGTGAACTATGACCAAAGCAACTTTGTAAGAGGTCACTGTCTTAGAGGCTTCTTGAAAGTCTGAAATAACAAAAGACTAAGGTACAGAATTCCCAGGTATGTATGTATGTATGTATGTATGTATGTATGTATGTATGTATCTATCTATCTATCTATCTATCTTTCTATCTGTCTATCTATCTATCTATCTAAATCTAGGTTGTAGGGCCCACAGATCTACCCCTTCTCCCAGGGTTCATATTGAGGATAGCTTGCAGTTTCTGGAAAAACATTTTGTTTGTTCCTGTGCTCGCTCTGCCCACCCTGGTGGTTAGCTACAGAGGAGTTGTTTGTTCTGTCTTGAATCTGGCAATTTCCCACCTGCCTGGGGGATTTCCACTGGGCAGCAGTTAGCTATATAAGGCTTTCTCTAAGCTTGAACAAACACCATTCTGCATTCTCTCTTCATGAATGACCCCCATCTCTTGTGTTCTCCAATCTCCAGTCCCTTGCCTGACTCGCGAACTGTCCCATAGTACAGGCGCTACACTAGGAGTCAGTGTATCTGTGCAATCTCCAAATTCTGGAAATGCTTAGACTGAGCAAGAAGGGGTAACTGATGTATGTGGCAGGTAGCACAAGATCTAGAGAAATAGCCTTCTAGATAGGACAGTTCTTCCTTTAAGGAAAAGAACTATACAGACTATAGAAGCAGACCATAAACCAGCTGGGCACCAGTTGACAAGAAGTGCCAATGGCAAGGAAGTTCCTGGTGATTCTAGATTCCTTAGGAAGTAGGCTTTGTGCTCAGCTGAGGTCATGGGGTGTCCACCTTAGGTGCACAGGATGGCAGTTAGAACTGTGCCTGTTCTGTGTTGGTTCCCTGGTGGATGGGGGAATATCAACTGGAAAAACATCTCAATGACCCGGGCTCATTCCGCCAACTTTATAGTTTGTCTCCCACATGAAACAGAACATTTTGAGAAGCAAAAGCGATACAGGACAAGCACTCAAAACTACTTCTGAAAATTCATCTCCTAAATCCCTTTTGTAGAGAACAGGATGATCAGGAGAAGAGATATACATGACAGTTCAGGCAGACACAAGTGCTACGCTGATCCTGGCAGAGCAATGATCGTTTCATTTCCACACGACTGTCAAGCAGTCATTTGGTTTTAAAATGTATTTGATGAAGATGATAAGACACTCCACCGCCTTTCTTTTTTATTCCTTTCCATCTATTCTAGGACACAGTGTGTGGAGCGTGTAAGAATTTATATTGGTTAGAATAGAAAAGAGAGATATCTGGAAGATTCTGGAATAATTTCTGTTTCCATTAATCAAGTCAGTATGCTGTTAATAAATAAATTGTCAATTAAGTAATTAATTATTGATCGAATTATATAGTTATTCCAACCTATAAGGCAAGCACTTCACATGAAGCAGCATTTGTGAGTCTTGTCTATCTCCTCTCTTGCGAAGCCTTGATAGGTCTGCTCTAGTCGTAGGCATGGGGAAGGCAGGGCCTGCAGCATGGACCAGGTGGGCTACAGGGCTTCTCTGGTGTTCTTATGTCTGAAGAGCTGAGTTCAGATGGAACCCTGAGAAGCAACCCTGGTGGGAGGCAGCAGGGACTTTATAACAAGGGCAGGAGGAACCTAGTAAATTTAGCTTCTGTTGGAGGAAGAAAAGAGACTTCCTGTTGCTGAGTTCTGCAGAGAGATACCTGTACTCACACAGAAACGATACATCACAGAGTTACAGGTACACATGGAGCAGACTCCCACATAATCCGAAGGATAAGAACATGACATTCTCCATAACAAAAGCTTGCTTGTGAAAGATAAGTATGGTCTTCCTTGAGGGAATTTTCTTCTCTGTTATTGTTTCATAAATACACCTGAATACTTGTCATATCCAAGGCATGGTGCCAAGTCAGTTTCAGGAGAGGAACCTACAATGATACCTGCATTTTGCAGCACAGCAGTACTGGGACCAACTGCAGCCCTCATCCAATGCACAATACTGTAGCTTTCTGCCTGAGAAGGCTGTGGCGCCCCAGAAAGCAGTTCTGACCTCTCACAGTCCCTCCCAACTCAGATGTCCATGGGTGGCAGACTAGACAAGGCGAGGCTTCCCCATCCATGGAAGAACACCCGCACAGCCCCTATTTTAAAAGAGATGCTGGGGATCAGACCCCAGTACTCACATGTACTGTGTAAGAGTTCTACCAGTGAGCTAATTATGTCATCTTAAAAAAAATTGAGACAAGGTCCCATTATGACCTAGGCTAGTCTTGAACACATGGTCCTTCTGGCTCAGCATCTATATTGTCTAGGATTGCAGACCACAAAGCATGACTCTTTTGAAGGCATGATTTAGAGAAAATCAGGTTCTGTTTTGTGGGCTATATATAAATCTCTCGATTTAGAAACCTGCAATGTTTATTTAGCTGCTTATGTGTTTGGTTTTACTGTACACGGTTTGATAGTGCAAATGACTAAAAACAGCCAAGTGGAACATTTTTCCTGTGAAGATATTTTGCTTTTGATCTAAGGAACACATTGTCAATTTCTGTGTGTCTAGTAAGAAAAAAGTATGATCTCTCAAAATTTTCCAAGTCTCAGTGATCAAGTGTGATTTATTGAAAAGGAAAGATTAGCAGCCGTGCTGGCTCAGTGCTGTGTAAACGGTCAGCTGTTGCCATTGGTGCTAAAGAGCTCAACCCTTGGGGCTGGGCCATGGCTCGGCATGTAAAGCTCTTGTCACACAAGCACGAGAGCCAGATATCATAATCTCAGCTCTTACATAAAAGTCTGGTGGGCATGGTGCCCCACTGGTAATCTCAATACTCTTCAGGCAGAGCCAGGGCATCCTGGGAGCAAGCTGGCTGGGCACAGCAGCCCCAGCGGTGAGCTTTGGTCAAGCGAGGAACACTTCTGCCTTATGTAAGGCAGGGCATGATGAAAAGATTCCCGACAACTAACCTCAAACTCCCACAAATGTACCCATACACATGTGTATATGCATGCATGCATATTGACCCACCCACAAGACACATTAAAAACATCCCTAACATTATGTTCCCTGGGGAAATGTGGGTCTTCCTTTTACCTGAGGAGTCGCAGCTCTGCCAGCAAGGTTGGGTTCTGTTGTGCCTTCTCTGGTGTGGGCTGAGAAGCTTGCTCATGTTCTAGCCGAAGTCTCTGGATCTCTTGTAAGATTTCTCTTGGGAAAGAGGAGGAAGAGAAGAACTAGTGTCAGTGCTTCCCTGGACACCAACGTGTGAGCACAGCAGGCCGCACAACAGAGAGGAGCGGGGTTGTCTGTGACCCCGACATGTGAACACAGCAGGCCGCAGAACAGAGAGGAGTGGGGTTGCCCTGTGACCCCGACATGTGAGCACAGCAGAGGGAAGAACAGAGGGAAGTGGAATTGTCTGTGACCCTGATATGTGAACACAGCAGGCTGCAGAACAGAGAGGAGTGGGGTTGTCTGTGACCCCGACATGTGAGCACAGCAGGGGGCAGAAGAGAGGGAAGTGGGGTCCTGTAACCCTGACATGTGAGCACAACAGGCCAGCAGAACAGAGGGAAATGGGGTTGTCCTGTAACCCTGACATGTAAACAGAGAAGACCAGCCTGACAGAGGGAAGTGGGGTTGTACTGAGATTAAGAACAGAGCTGACCTTTTTCGGCCTGGGGATGCCCTGCACCCATGTAGTCTGGATAGGTGAGGGAAAGGCTCACTCTGTCTTTAGCACACCCAGACCATACAGACTGTGCAGTGTGCTGCCGAGTGTTATCCCTAGGACCTATCCTCTCTCTGGTATGTCATATGGTGCTGTGGTATCAACATTAGTGAGTGTAATGTTTGGTATCTCCTATTATTTATGATCACACTCTGACACCACAAAATATCATAAATATCAAATGAGAGGTGCCTGAGAGAGAAGAAAGCACAAATGATGCTCATTTGACAAAAATAAGTATCCTTATTCTTTTACCGAGCGAAAAAAAATTTTTGCTGAAATTATTAGAGAAATCCCAAAGTCGTATTTTTTTACTTTCCATCTTCAGCTTTAACAATGAATCTCAAAGAAGGCAGCCTTACAGGGAAAGGCTTTTAGAAGGATTCATCGTAATTGATCCTGTGACACAGAGTGCTATTGGTGGAACCTCGGTCAGGCAGTGAGCTATGTCAGTGTATTATTGATGCTAGAAGCCTTGCACTTGGTGGAGCATTAGGCTGGCCATTAGTGACATGCAACGGTGCACAGCAAATTCTGTGTAAGTAGATTTGAAGCCATTAAGTAGAATTATTAGTTATGTACTCTTGAATACGGAAGTGTCAAGTTTCTACTTAACAAAATGCCCAAGGGATAGTAAGAGAGTAAAAACACTGAGAAAGAAGAAAAGAATTGCTGAGCAAATTGGGGGGCGGGATGGCTTTCTGCATTTCAAAATTTCAGATTGATAGAAAATTGTCCATTTTTGTGGAGTAACATAATAACATGACACATGTATACAATGAATAATGATTAAATTAGGCTAGTAAGCATTTTTTTTTCCTGTTGGGAGTCTCCGATTCTCTGAGTCAGGTAAGGGGCACCAACATACAGACAGTTTAGGTCAAGCCAGACTGTTCTGTAACACAGCAGGGTGGTTGCAGTTTTGCACAGTTATTTGAGGATCGGTAGTCCAGCCCACCTTTCCTGGCAATGGGGAAAAGTTTGGACCCTGAGCCTCCTTTGTTTTCTTCCTGAAACGCTGAGGTAGAAATATTTCTTTAAAGGAATCTTTCATGGAAACTCATCTTCCTTATGAAAGAGAAGAGGGAGCCACTGTGATTACAGAAAGGGCGGGTCCAAGAGCTCTCAGCTTTTTTCTCCTTCTACTGCTGTTTTTCAGGGCTCCTAGGGTGCTAGAGAGCTGACCCTGAAAAAGAGTGAATTTTCACACTGCAGGAGTGGGACCTAGATGGGTGTTAAAAGGGGTGAGTTTAGGATGGATGGTCCTTAGGGATGGGGCAGGGAATTCTAGGAATGATGCATGCCTGAGGGCGAGATGAAGCTCTCCTTCTCCTCTCTTCCCTCCCTTCTCCTCTCCTCCCCCTTCTCTCCCCACCCCTCCTCTTTCCTTCCCTCCTCTCCCCACCCCCTCTCCTCTCCTCTCCTCTCCTTTCCCAACCCCCTCTTCTCTTTCCCTCCCCTCCCCTCCCCTCCCCTCCTCTAATCTCCCCTCTCCCTCTCCCTACTTTCTATCTCTCTCAGGTCTATAAGTATGTGCTTAAGGGTGCACAATAAAAAACACCCAGAGACAAGCAGTAAGATGGTGTCAAGGCCCAGCCAGGGCTGTCCAAACATTTAGAGCACTTGCTGCTGACTGTGGATCCTCCATTCACCATTGGACTTACCACTTCTAGTATCTGCTCATCCCCATGAAAACACACTCTGCTTGTTTAATTTGCCATTACTCCATCAGAAACATGTAGACATCTTATCTCATGTCTGACGGGCACTCTTTGTCACTACAGCATAAATTTCTGTCTGGGCAGTGCCTTATGGACAGTCTTAGATATTGGTACTTCTACTTTACCCTTAATCTGAGTCCTGTGGATTTACTCTGGCAAGTAGTTCTGAATGATTATTTGTATTTTTCCCTGTAATTCTTTGGTTGTTCATAGCCAAATTTCACTATCTTAACATGTACAACTAACTCCTCACCTCTATACATTTACCCTCTAAACCTGCATCACAGTGATATTGTAAAGTAGATCACAGTGGGGAAAAGAGGGTGACAGGATCCATTATTTTTTAATATAAATTTATATGACAAATGATGTAGTCATTGTGCCCAGCTTGCAGGGTTGCTGTGGCTGAACTGGAAGAGCAGTGCACGTTTCCCTCAATGCACAACTTGCTACTGCTCGGGTTTTAATAGCCCAAAGCAAATGGTAGTTTTCTTGCTTTTGTCACTGGGAAGCTGGATTGGATGTTATTAATTATAGCTTTCGAAGGATGGCGCCTTCCTGGTTAGCAGCCACAGTGTGTGTGCCCTAGAGAGGGACTAAAGGTTGGAGAAGGGATATGTGTGTGGTGATGTCTGTTGGCAACTCTGACTGAATGAAAGGGTTGAGAGTGGCTTACACTTGCCCATTGTCCAGTCAGCTACAGGACTCACTGTCCTGGCAAGGTAGCTGCGTCCCTGCCTTCCTCGCCATCTTCTTAGCTCTTTCGTTGACCTTGTGAGTAGCTCACTTACTAACATACTGACATTTATTAATTCCAGATTAGCTCATTTGGAAAAACCTTTCATAGCACATACTGTAAGTTGACTTTGTTACTGAGCATAAACACTTTTGAATTCCAATTTTCATATGTGCTCAGGTTTCCAGAGGAACTGGGAATTTTAGAGTGCAGTACTTTTTCCTTCGTTCTGTGCACTTTCCAGGATCCAACACCAAACATGACCCCTCTGTTTGCTGCTTCCCATCCTTGTCAGCAGGCATCCAGTGAGGCCCTGTGGGTCCACGTGGCTTTTTCTCATTGTTGGCTTCAAACCCTCAGCTGTCTGGCTTACTCGATGCTTTCTTCATGGATTCAGTCCCCATTCAGCCTCTCCCCAGCACGGCTTCTCTTCCTCTAATGTTCCCCTTTATTCCCTTGGATTTTAGGTGTCTTTGCTCATTTTAAATAAATCCATTCATCAGTGCTTTCTGTGATTCCACACAATTGCTTTCCCACGCCATCTGTAACAAGTGTTACCTAAACCAGATAACAAGTCACACACTGGTAACTACCCCGAGCAAATCCTGACTTCTGTCGCTCTATTTCCCTCTTGTCTAATTTTTCACAGGGCCTCTTCTTTCCCCCTTCCTGATTCTTGTTTCCCACCACGTTATAAATCAGAGGGATCCTGTAATGAATATCTGTCTGGTGGGTGGGGTCAGGAGAGAGGAGTGATTTCAAAGGCCATGAAGTCATGATGTCATAGCTCTTACAGCACCTCCACTCTGGTTTGTGGTCTGCTGCTGATGATAGCCAGGTTCCGAGACAATTCAATCAAAGGAGCGTTTATTAGAAAATCCATGAAATTGCTCTAATTCTTTTAATTCTTATGTGCAACATACTAAAGGATGTTTTGATCATTTCTCCAAGCACTTTAGGTTAAACGCTAAAGGCATGAAATAATGATGTTTCCCCCTTTACCACTGCCACATCAAATATGACATCAGCTTTGTGAATGGGATAAAGTACTGAAACATTCTTTATTGTTCCAAGGCATATACAGAATGGACAAGTTCCCGTGATGAGTTTACTCAGAACTGGGTATAAGCTTTGCCTTGGCTACTTGCTATTTTTTCATTCAAACAGATTTATCCAGCACCTACAATTTTAGGTACACTCCTGGGTCCAAGCAGGTTTTTGGCACTATCTCTGTTCCTAGAGAATGTTCATTTCGTTCATGGAAGGTGGGGTTAAAATAAAAAGTGGAGGCATAAGTAGGATTATTTCAGACATTGAGGACACACACACACACACACACAGGAAGTAGTCTTAAGGGGTGATTGGTGCAGGAGAATTATCTGTATTCTGTCAATCATATTTTAATAAAACGCTGATTGGCCAGGCAGGAAGTATAGGCGGGAAAACCAGACAGGAAGTAGAGGTGGAACAAAGAGAACGGGAGTATTCTGGGAAGCAGGAAGCTCCCTCCGCCATTCCTGCGCAGACCACCAAAGAGGCAACATGTAAACTGCCATGCTGAGAAAGGTACTGAGCCGTGTGGCTAACATAGATAATAATAATGGATTAATATAAGTTACAAGGACTAATAAGAGGCCTGACCTAATGGGCCAATCAGTTTATAATCTTATGGAGTCCTGTGTGTGATTTTCCTTGGGGCTTGCTGGCTTGTTGGGGTACCGGGCAGGACAGAAACCCCAACAAGCCAGGTGATGCCCTTGATAATGCTGAGGGACTGTCTTGCAGAGCTGCACAGAAAAGCTCCCTAGGCTGAAGGCAGGGCTACGAGGAAGTGAAGCAGTCACAGGAGGCTGGAGTGTGATGGTCACAGGCACTGATGCTGAAAACGCATTCAGGACTCCAGGGAGCTAGCACCTTGCCCGCCATGATGACAGGAGAGGGTTTTAATCCAAAATGTCATGGGAAATCAAGATGGTTTTGTCTTGGGGAAAATATGATATGATTTATGTTTCAAAAATGGCAGGTTGGTTGGTAGCTGGTGGTAGAGACACAGTGGGTAGATATGGGGGAGGTGCTGCAGAGAGGATCATTGGTGTTGATCTGGGTTGAGCAGAGAGAAGACCTGATGATGAAGAGAGGCTTTGGATTGGATGCTTTTGGATTGGATGCTTTGGATGGAATGATGGTGATGCAACCCTGAGTGTTTCTTTAACCCTATAGGAGGACTTCTTGACTGGATTCCTGCTCATCCCTGAGCAACAGAGACATGTTCTACCTCAGACTCTGGAAGATCTTCCTGAACTATAGCTTGTTAAGGAAACTAGAAAAGGGGGAAATGAGCTCTGTCCAGAGTTTTCCAACATTAATCATGTTAATGGTTCTGAAAGATACACTCATACACATCAATACACACATCCATGCACATAAACATACACCCCACCATACCCACCCACCCACAAGGCATGTACAAATACACACAGACATAGACACATCCATGCACATAAACATACACACCCATACACAGGCACACACACAGAGGCACACAACACACACATACTCATGCATGCATACATGCAGACATATACACACAGGCACACACAGACACGGACTCTCTCTCTCTCACACACACACACACACACACACACACTCACACACACACACACACACACACTTTTATAATGAAGCTCCAGCAGCCATCTTCACAGACTTGCAGTATCCTCCCTTAAACAGGCTTGTAAGGAAACTCCAAACACATAAGGCACACGTCCCCAAGCCCTACCTGTTCTTGTTTTCTAGTTCTGCAATCAGCTGCCTTTGCTGTTTATTTGAATCGATGGTGAAGGAGATGTCGGGAGCACTCCTCTGCTGAGTCGGCTGCTGAAAAACACGGAGTTGGCACTATTTAATATGAGGAACGTGAGTTCACATGTGAGATGGAGTCATGGGTATGCAGAGAAGGAAGAAGAAACCATTCCATGGGATGGGGCAGGGACAAGAACAGAAAATTGAACTTCTTTTCATTCTAAGAGCAAACTCTTCTGCAGATCTCCTATATAGCTACACAACGGAAAACAAACAGCCCTTCCTCAGGTCCTCACATCTGGGTGCAAGGCTGGGTAAAGGGGAGGTGTGGGGCTTCCAGCTGGGCATACCACACTATCGTAGAGACTTGGTTCCTTAGGCTATCATATTTTTAAAACTGAAAATTCATTACCAAGACATCATAATTTTAGCAACAAAGAGGAGAACAAGGAAAAAAAGCACCAACTTTCTTGTTAATTAGCACCAGGTTTAATGATAACAATGGACTGGGGCTTTTGAAATTCAGTGATGCTGGAGGCCAACAGGGCTGCCCTTTTGTTCTACTTACGGATGAGGAGGATTCTGCTGCCAGGCGTGCCGCATACCTGGCGATCAGCCTGTGTTCTTCATCAAGCCGGTTTGAACTCTCAAGCATACTATAGAGAACAAAGCGAACAGGAGACTGTTAGGCCCCTGAGAGGGACTGGTGCGTTCCTATCAATGCTAGGGGTTTTGGCCATTTCAAGGCCAAAGACTTTCAAACTCTCAAATATCTCTTAGATTAATGATCTTCAACTTGAGTTCATGACATGATCTAATATGTGGCTGGGAAGATCAATATTAAGTCCTTTGCCCAGTCAGTTCAATTATCTTACTAAGAAGGCTCCTATGAGCCCATTCTCTTTGGAGGGATACCTTGCTCAGTATAGATATAGCAATGTGCTAGACTTTGCTGACTCCCCATGGGAAGCCTTGCCCTTTCTGAGGAGTGGATAGGGCGTGGAGTGTGTGTGGGAGGAGAGAGGTAGAGGGAGTGGAAACTGGGATTGGTATGTAAATGTAAAACATCAACATAATAATAATAATAATAATAATAATAATAATGACTCCTATGAGAAGTAATGCGACTTTTTTGATGTTTCAGATATAAGAATACTTTCTCTTTAATTTAATCTTACTGTTTTCATATTTTTATTTCATTTTACAAATAGCTCATGTCAAAAGGTGGCAACATTAGAAATATGGAAAGATGCAGGAAGGGCAAAGACCCAGTTGTAATGTTGTTGATCCAATGACTCCTCCTGCCTATTGGCGCCCACTTCCTTACGTAATCTCATTTCTTTGCTTTGATCTTCACTTACTGACATTAATGAACAGAAGAATATGGCAGAGGCATGGAATGCCACTTCTTACATATAGTTTTAAAAGACTGGCTTCCATATTGGGTGACCTATTTCTTGAGCTCTTTTGTGATACTTGTCCTAAGGGACTCTGAATCCCATGTCATAAATCTGCCAATATAATGAGAACCCAAATCACCTAGGACCTTTGTGAATGAATCCCTACTGGTGACGCTGCTGTTGATAGATTGAGAGGGGAGATGGACCATCGTCTCACAAACATCCTTGAGTCAAGGCAATCTTGCAAAGCCAAGCCTGGATTCCTTCATGAAACTGTGAGCTGATGCTTGTTACCTTAATTTGCTAATCTCTAGGGTAATATGCTACACTGGAAAGGATGACTTACATGGATTAGAGCTAACTATAATGCTACTTCCCAGGCAACCCAGACTTTTTATTTGCTTCTAAAAACATAGGATTAAGTGATGCTTCCCAAGGGCATTGATAGAAGTATTTAGTGGTTCCTATCACGTCATAGAAACGGCTCACCTAGAATAAGACTATCTGAATCCCTGAAAAGTAGTACAAGCACAAGCAGTATGGGTCTCTCATATTTCAGAAACCTTCACCTTCTGAAACCCTGTATGTGAGACTCCATTTGAGTGACACCGAGGGAAGTTCAGTGAGACAATTATCTCATTAGTGGAGAGTTCTTGACTTGTTTTTCTCCACTATTATGAGTGGATGAGGTCAGAATCAAGCTTAGAAACTGCTTCCCATTCGCAAGCATATTTATATCACTCTCCACTGGCCCTTCCCACTTTTATTCTTAAAATAAAAACAATGAGGGCCAGAGAGATTGCTCAGCGGTTAAGACACTGGCTCTTCTTGGTCTTCAGAGGTCTTGGATTCAATTCTCAGCACCCACACAACATCCATAACCATCTGAAACTCCAGTCTCAGGAGATTTGATACTCTCTTCTGGCCTCTGGAAGCAGGCACATATGTGGTGAGTGTAAAACACTCACATACAGAAATATATAAAAATAAATAATGATGATACTTGGGATTGCTCATGAAAACACCCCCCCATGTCAGTATTGTTAAGAGTTTCCCATTGTGAAGACTCAGATGCATAAAGTGATGCACAGTTATTCTGTGTGTATATTTGCACGTAAAATGATGTGCGGCACGATCTCTTAAACTTTGTTCGAAAGTGAGATGAGTGGATGTCTTCATGTTCACTAGGAGGGGCTTGTCTGTCCTAACCTATTTAGTTGAATTTGTCATTATAAAAGTTTTGCCCAGGCGTCTGGACTATCCTCTGTGCCACCCAATCTCTGTTCCCTTACACCTCTCAATCCTACAAGTTTTATTCTTCAACAGCTCCGTTCCAGACTTAGCCTTTTCTGTGGACTACTGTAAGTAGACATTCCTGAGTCCTCCACTTCAACCAACCCACCTCCAGGCACAGAAAGGGGGTTTTCTCCCTGATTGTCCATCTGAGGTAATCCCTGCAGTAAGCATCCAGTCAGCACGCTGTCTGGGGCACACCACGTGCTCAAAATCTTAGCTACTACGTTGTTTTGTCTCTCAGTGACTTTGTGAATCACGTGAATGATTCTTGTCTCTTAAAAAACATCTCAGCTGCTCTCTGAACCACCCAGAGCAGGGAGGCTCAGACTTTTGTCTAAATGTGCTGCTTGGCGATGTGAAACTTTAGTTTCTGAGCTCTCTACCGGGGTTGGTGGGGCTGGCTAAGGTTTGGCGGGGTGGGAGTGGCTAAGGTTTGGGGTGGGAGTGGCTAAGGTTTGGGGGTGGGGCTGGCTAAGGTTTGGGGGTGGGGTTGGCTAAGGTTTGGAAGTGGGGCTTGCTAAGGTTTGAGGGGGTGGGAGTGGCTAAGGTTTGGGGTGGGACTGGCCAAAGGTTGGGGGGCGTAACCAAGAATCTGCATTTTTAATGAAGTTTCAGAATATGATACTCCTGGTTTTAGAAGATCCCTGAGCAGAACAATCTAGAAAACCTAACAATTTAAATAAAACATCTGCATACCAGAAATAAGGACTATATCTAAACCATATAAAATATACTATTTTATGAGCATTTGACTGATATTCATGCAACTGTTGGATATTTTACAGGCATTTTCTTGACACAAGAAAATTCTAGAATGCAGAATTCATGTGACGTATAATATCAATCACAATGCTGACTGAACATAAATTTTAACAGAATATGCCAGAATTACTTATGGAAAGCTAATGCTTGGAAGCAGATGTGCATCAATAAGTAATATCTGCCTTATGTAGGGCTTAGATGGCCATATTTCTTCCTACAAGTTCAAGAGAAGGGAAAAGTTACCCTGTCTTTGCTTTAGATAAATGCCTAATCTATTAATAGACCATTTAGTTTGATTTTAACACATCTGTCATTTTCTGGCTGGTGTGTTAGAGGATAGCTGCCTAATTCAGCAAAGTTTGTGCAGGGTAAAGCACCCAGTATTCTGAGCTCACGACGCTCATCTATTTCAGTGCTTGAAAATGACTTTGTCATGAGTGCGTGTGAGTGCTTTGATAAAAATGTAATAAAAAACCTTGACAAAAAACTTCATGGTAAAAGTATTTTTTTTTTCTTATGAATGACCTGCAAGCAAATAAAGTATGAAGGTTATATAAAAAAGCCTCCTGGCAATGTAAGCCATAAAGATACGAGATTCTGTCTCATAAGCAATAACTCATACTCTGGGCCTTTCTTCGCCCAACATGGCATAAATGAGCACTGGGGTGATACATTACTTGGTTCTGCATACAAATGATTCATGAGCCTGCATGAGCCTTTCAGGATGTTCAAATTACACACCAGTGAATGGGATGCTCTTCTGATAAATTCCATTTTTACAAGACCTCAGTTACATGCAGTTGAAAATAAATGATCAATAACCTGTAGATCATTAAAATAAATACCAACCCTAGCACTTTCTATAGTGCTAACTGTTCATTTGAAGACTCTACAGTCAGTAACCTACAAGATGACACTGTACTAAAACGGGCAGTACTGCTCTGTTGGCTGCATTCTGGAGTGGAAGGAGCCATTATTTTGAAAGGTCTTCAATTTCTACCTTAAAGGCACAATCAGCATCTTTTACAAGGGGTTTCTGATGGCTTTCCTGGGATCTTGGTTGACACCCAATCAGGGCTTACTAAACTGAAGTTTTGCAAAGATTTCTGGGAACTCAGGTCTGTTCCATTTCTTAGATTCTGACTTCATGAATGAGTGAGCCTGACTTCCAAAGGGGGGCAGTTAGTGAAAACCATGATGTCATTCTTAGAAGAAATACTTCATTTCTCTCTGAATAGCCTTTTCTTTTCTGTTTGGATAAAGACACTACAGATGGTTATCAAGACTGATGTGCTGTTATTCTATCAAAATGTAAGCAGTTAATGGGTTATATACCAAGAAGTATTGTAACTCCTAAGTAGAAGATTTAAAAAAAGTGTGTGTGTGCGTGCGTGTGTGTGCGTGTGTATTTGTATGCAAGTGTGCCCACATACATGCTGCAGCACACATGTGAAGAGCACAAGACAATTTGTTGAGGTCAGTTCTCTACTTACACCATGTGGGTTCCTAGTATCAAACTCAGGTCATCAAGTTGGGTGGCAAGTACTTTTACCAGCTGAACTATCTCACCAGCCTGGAAGATTTTTGTTCTTGCTGCTGTTTTTTTTTTTAAATAAGATTTTATCCTATATTTTCCCAGTAGATGAGAATAAATGTTATGGATAGACAGTACTGTTGAAGAAACTGGAAGACAGTGCGCATAGGAAAGTTGAGGTAGAAAAGAACGAAGCAATCCTACGGCCTGGCCGATGTTTTCATATGACTAATGAATGGGGAGGGAAAGAGCTAAGGTTTGAAGTTTATTCTCAGGGCTTTTGAATGAGTGGTTTGCAAAGAAAAGGCAGGAATTCCTGAAACAATATTATTAGATTATAGCAATAGAAATTATCACAGTGGCCCCTCTTAAGAATGTATCCAAACTTCTTTTTTAAGACCCTAACTTCAGAACTTGGTAAGTTATAAACAAAAGTTATATCAATCATACTTTAGCCTACACATTAAAAATAGACATATAGGGTAAGTGGGTACTGGGTTGGAGTATGTTATGGAGTGAATTGCATCTTCTTCTGAATTTATTTATTGTAGCCCCAATACCCTACTAATTTTAGACTATGGCTACCTTTATAGACAAGCCCTTTAAAGAAACATTTAAAGTTACATGAAGTCATAAGCCTGAGGTGCTAATTTCACATGACTGG